TTTTCCTTCTAGTGTCTTCTGTAAGGCTGTATTTATGGGTAGGTATTGTTTAAATTTGTTTTGTCATTGAATATCTTATTTTCTCCATCTGTGTGATTGAGAGTTTTGCTGAGTATAGTAGCCTGGGCTGACATCTGTGTTCTCTTATGGTCTGCATGATATCTTTAGATATTGAACCATTTTGTTGATTTCCTTCACTTGTCTGACTGTATTTTCCTGTTTTTCCTTCAATTCCTCACCTGTTTGTTTGAACATTCCTTTGTTTCTTTTGTTTCTTGCAGTCATTTAATTATTTTCTCTCTGAAAGCCACAAACTGTTTGGCTGCATCTTCCTATATTTCTTTATACATTTTTTGTTTCCTCCATTATCCTCTTCATAAGCTTAGATGAGGTAATCTTCTTGAATTTCCCTTATGATAGGGTGTCCAGGTCTACTTGCCCCTGGATAACTGGGTTCTGGGGATGCCATATTGCTTTGCCTTTTGTTGGTTGTCCTTTTATTCTGGTCTCTCCCCATCTGTCTGTCTCAGGTGTTTTCTCTTAGTTTCTGATGCCTGCTGGAATCCTGGCGTGTGGAGAATCCCCTTGGCAGGAAGATGGTTGTTCCTGATGGAGGTCTCCTCAGCTTTTTGGGTATGGGCACCTGAATGGCAGTGCTTCTCAAGAATTGCTACAGCTCACCTCCGGCCTATGGACCTGTGTGGTAACTGTGGTCATTAGTAGTGTATGTGGGGTAGGCTGTCCTATCACCAGGGGAAGTCTTGGAGACAGCTACCCTGCTGCTGAGTTTCTTGCTCTGAATTTAGAGAGCTGCTGTTGCTACTCTTACACTGTTTTCTGTGCGCAGCCCTCTTGAAGAACCAGGGAGCCCCGCAGTTGGTCAGTTTAGCTAGGAATACTGGTTGCACCTTGGTACAGTGTCTGAGGCTGATACTGTGGATCCCAGGCTTCTGTAGGTCTGAGGTTGGAGCTCTGTGCCCCAGTACCCAAGTGGTAATCAGTGGCAGGTGAGTGTAGCACTCATGGGTGCGGCAGGAGGCTAGAGCCAGAGCCTGCAGTAACCTGAGTTCGGACCTGATGTTTCATCCGCCGTGGGGTTTCCTCCCAACATTGAGACCCAGTCTGTGGTGTTTGAGGTTCACAGTTCAGTCTGGGATGGTGAGCAGACTACACAGGCGTAAGCGAGTGGCTCCCTGCTGGTCACTGGGCACCTGCAGGAACTCAGGAAATTTTCCTGAGAACTTTTTTGGGGGTGAGGGCAGCTGAGTGCCCTGAGGTCAGACCTGATGTTTCCCTCACCGTGGGGTTTCCTCCCAATAGGAAGGAAACTGCCTCTCTGGTGCCCTGGGGCCCACACTTCTGTCTGGAACAGTGAGTCAGGCCTGCAGGCAGGTCTCTGGCTGGTGGCTGAGTGCCTGCCATATCCCAGAACCTTTTCCAAGGATTGTCTGGGTGACCTGAGGTTGGTCCAGATTGCTTCCTTCACCATGAGGAAGGAAATCTCGACTGGAAATCCCAGTCTCTGGTGTTTGGGGGCCCACAGTTTGGTCTGGGACAGTGATCAGAGCAGGCAGGTGTGTGGCTCTGGGCTGGCCACTGAGCACCTGGTGGACCTGGGAACTCTTATGGGGTTTAGCTGGGTGACCTGAGAATGGGCCTGATTTCTTCCCACACCATGAGGTTTCCTCTCAGCTGCAAAGCACAATTGCTGGTGTTTTTGGGCCCAGAGTTCAGTCTGTTGATCACTGTGCATTCACTGCTGTCCTGCTCATCAGACAGTGTCCTCCCAACACCACCATCTTGGATCACCAAGAATTGGTTTCTAAAAAAAGTATTATTTCATTTATCTAGATTATCACATCTTTCAACTATTCTGGGAAGATAAATGTGTGGTTTCTTATAAACAATTGCATTTTTTTCTGTAAACTATACTATGGGTTCAGGAATAGCCACACACTGATCACTTGAACAACTGACACAGACTGATGGAAGTTTATTGAAAATTAAACAAAGACTGACCAATCAGGGCCATAATCTGGATTTGAGAGCCAAACTCTGACACCGGTCTGTTTCAAAGGCAGGGATGTTTTAATATGAAAAACTTTAGCCAAGTAACCAGTTGTAGGAAGTGAGGGGGCAGCATGATATCATTCTGACTGACTAAACATAATGGATTTTGTTCCAAGTGTGTTTTCTTGTATGTAGATAGCTAGACAAAGCACTTTAAGCTGATTGGCTGGGATTTAGGGTAATAGAGTTCTTGGGGGCTTTCCAGCTTTCTGGGAGTAAGGAACATGGCAAGATGTAGCAATCTTACCTCTAACAGAACATATATTTATCTTTAATTCAAGCAGAACATTCAACCTATTGTTTTATTTTAAGCAGCAAACACTGAACTATTGAATTGTGTCCTGGTCTCAGGCATGTAGGCCTTAGCACTTGCACTTAATTTCACCTTATGATTAAAATGGAGACTTGATCAAAATGGCTTCTGATATGCTAAAGGCTACAGCAGGTGTTAACAGAGGAGCCAGAATTATGCTAATAACTAAAGTAAGTCTCAACAGAGGGGCCATAGAGTTTAAGCAGGTTATAAGAACTGGAAATATTTAAAGCTTATTTAAATTTGTATCATACATGGAAATTTGTGTAACACTTCATCCTTACTCATAAGAATTAGAATGTGTTTATTTTAATGAAGCATGGTGCTCTCCACTTATAATCCCAGCAATTTGGAGATGGAGGCAGAAGTTCCACCAGTTCAATGCCAGCCTCAACTACATACTTCATCCTGGGCCAGACCCTATTACACCTGAGACCCTATTCTACCAAACAACAAAAAAAATGAGGATGTAGAAATGTGAGTCTCAAACTTTAGTGTATATAGAGCAGGGGTTCTTGGCCATGGGTTCTGACCCCTTTGGGGTTGTCATATAAGATATTTACATTAAAAATTATAACTAGCAAAATTACAGACAAATAGCAATGAAATAATCTTATGGTTGGGAGTCACCACATGAGGTATTTGCTTTTATTTTTGGTTTTGGGGTTTTTTGGTTGGTTGGTTGGTTTTTGGTTTGTTTGTTTGTTTGTTTTAGTTTTTCAAAACAGTTTCTCTGTGTAGCCCTATAGACCAGGCTGGCCAGGAACTCACAGAGATCCACTTGCTTTTGCCACCCAAGTACTTGGGTTAAAGGTGTGTGCTACCACTGCCTAACTGTTTTGATGTTTTTAAGATGGTGTCTCATGTAAACTAGTTTGGTTTGAAACTCTACATAAGTGCGGCAGACGTTGAACTCTTGATTCTCTTCCTCCAGTACCACCACCCTCAGCCTAAATGTTATAAAATACTAAATTTTAGGATTTTTAAAATTTTTATTTTTAAGGGCTTTTTTGTTGTTGTTGGTTGGTTGGTTGGTTTTTCGAGACAGGGTTTCTCTATGTAGCCTTGGCTGTGCTTGAACTCAATTTGTAGGCCAAGCCACAGAAATTTACCTGCCTATGTTTCCTGAGTGCTGAGATTAAGGGTATTTACCACCACTGTCCTGAGTGCTGCATACACATGATGCAGACCTATTCAAGCAAAACACCCATACACATAAAATAAAAATAAAGGAAAAAACCTTCTAGCTGGGTGCAGTGGTGCATGGCTTGGGTAGCAGAGGCAGGTGGATCTCTGTGGGTTTGAGGCCATCCTGGTCTACAAAGTGAGTCCAGGACAGCCAGGGCTACACGGGGAAACCCTGTCTTGGGGAAAAAAAGAAAAAACTTGAGTCAGTTGTGATGGCTTACACATGTAATCATACTACTGATTCAGGAGGATTTTGAGTTTTTGGCCAGTCTGAGCTGCATGAAAAAGTACCATCATCGGGCCCAGCTCCCAAGTTTTTTTGTTTGTTTGTTTGAATAATTGTTTTGTTTTGTATTGTTTTTGAAGACAGGATTTCTCTATGTAGCTGGGCTGGCCTGGAATTCACTCTGTAGATCAGGCTGGCCTGGAACTCACAGACATCCACCTGCTTCTGCCTCCCAAATGCTGGGATTAAAGGTATGTGCCACCACTACCCGGCTTTCCAAATTTTTCTAGCATTTATATTTTCTTTCTGCAAGATCAATAAATTTACTTTTATTTATAGGTTTCTGTACCTCCATGAGTTTATGCACTACATGTGTGTGCAGACATGTGCATACATGTGCCCAAAGAATCCAGAGAGCATTTTGGCTTCCTTGGAACTAGAGTCACAGGATATTGTGAACCCTTGGGATTTGTAGTCTATTCTTTGTACTTCTGCGTGATTTAAGAAAGTTGCTTTGCTAAAGTAACTTCTTAACATATATTTGTTTATTTCGTGTGTACAAGTATGCATACGCTACAGCACGTATGTGGAGGTCAGAGAACGAGTTATCATTGATTCTCTCCTTCTAACAGAGATTCCTTGGATCAAACTCAAGGTGTCAGTTCTAAAGTAACTTTTTGGTTTTACTGTATTTTTGTTGCTGTTGCTACTGCTGCCACTGCTGTTCCCCACACCAACACTTTTTTTGAAACAAGATCTCTCACTATGTAACCTTGCTTGCCCTAGGACTCTATATGTAGACCAGACTGGCCTGGACTCAGCAATCTACTGTCTCTTCTCCCAGGTGCTACAAATAAAGACATGTACTACCATGCCCAGCTGTTTTTGTTGTTGTTTTACATATTGTTTTGGTAGGAATCCTAGACTGGCCTTGAACTTACGAACTCGTCTCCATCTCCTGAGTGCTCAGATAATGGGCATATGCCACAATACCTCTTTATGGTTTTGTTTGTTTGTTTGTTTGTTTTTGATATTTGGGATTGGGAATCTTACTGTGTTGCCCAAGCTGATGTTGGGCTGTTGGGCTCAGGAGATCCTCTTATTTTAACTAACCGGGTAGCTGCAATTATAATCAAAACTGCTAAACTGACCTTAAATGCCAAGTTGACTATATTCACAAAATTCTCATTTTGTCTTTTGTAGATGGTGTTATCTGAGAAGGTTAGTCAGCTGATGGAATGGACCAACAAAAGACCTGTAATAAGAATGAATGGAGACAAGTTCCGGCGCCTTGTTAAAGCTCCACCAAGAAATTACTCTGTTATTGTCATGTTTACTGCTCTCCAACTCCACAGACAGTGTGTAGTTTGCAAGTATGAGCTTTTATCTCCACTTTGAAATTAAATAACTATTTTTCATTTCAGAAGAACCAACAGGTTTGTACAATGTGTTTGATAATAGTAAAATGCATTACTCTGGTGGAACATAATAACAGACAGTATTTATTATGTACACAGTGTTCTGTCTGCATATATGCCTGCATACCAGAAGAGGGTACCAGATCTCATTATAGATGGTTGTGAGCTACCATGTGGTTGCTAGGAACTTAACTCAGGTCCTCTGGAAGAGCAGCCAGTGGTCTTAACCTCTGTCTCTACAGGTGTGCACTTACCATGCCTGGCAATACTACTGTTTTGTAATCTTCTTGATAGTGCATATTGGTAGGGAAGAATGAATAAAATATTGTAGCTGTCCTGAATTATTTAAGTCAACTAACATTTGCATCGATAAATAATTTATATAACATATGCTAGTTGCATTGACATAAATTTTTATTATTACATGTATGCACACACACATATGAGTGAATGCATGTGTACTGTTGTGCACACATGGAGGCCAGAGAACAACTTTTGAGAAGTCAGTTCTGTCCTTTCACCATAGACTCCAGGGATAGAACAAAAGTCTATAGGCTTGCATAGCAACTACTTTAACCCACTGTACATCTCCCAGCTCCATGTTATGAGTACTTTCAGGCTGGGGATGTAGCTCAGGGATATCAAGGTAGAGCAGTTGCCTAGCAACTCCTTTGGGGAGTTTTTAAAATATTTTTGAAGCAAGCAGAGTTATAGTTTCTTTTTGTGCGTGTGTACACATGAGTATTTAGAGGTCAGAGGATGGGCAGCTATGGAAGTTGGTTGTCTCCTTCTACCATATGTGACTCTGTGATTAAACTCAGATTATAATGTTCAGTGGCAAGCTCCTTTACTCCACGAGCCAACTCACCAGTCCTTAAAAGGGGATTTTTACACTAATTTTTACTATCCTGGGACTTGATCCAAAGGCCATGCTGACCTTGAACTCACGGACATCTAGCTGCCTTTTCCTTCCTAGTGATAGGGTTAAAGCTGTGTGCCACCGTACCCAACCTTATTTTTATTGTGTAAAGATTTATTTTTACTATGTGCATCTGTGTGGATGTATGTACACATGTGTGCAAGTTCCTTCAGAAGCCAGAGCCATTTGAAATCTGTTGGCATAATGTTATTTTGGACTGTGTACAGTTTACCCTTGTTCATTCAAAAGCTGTTTTTCTACCCAACTATCTTGTTTCAATCACATTGCATTGTGACGTTTATTCTAAGCATCTCCTGTTTCCAGTTTATGTAAACATGCAACCATTTTTTTTTCTCTGTTGCCAATAAAAGGCAACCAGCCAATGCTAAGCAATACAGAGAATGGGGTGGGACAACCTGGTCCAGTGAAGGGAGGAGAAAAGATAGGAAGTGGAGAATGGATCCATGAGGAGAGGACTGGGAAGCATCAGGAGAAATTAATCAGGCCTAGAATATGATCAAAAATCAAGTATAATGTGGGAAATCTGAATGAGAGGAAGCTATATTAGCTTGGAGGTTTAAAAATGGAGTAATTATCGTGCAGCATTCTGCTCTAGGCTAATTAAATAAATCCTAGTCTTTCTGTGCAATTATTTGGGTGTGTAGCTGGTTAGGGAGTAACTGCTGCTTTATTAAAATATAAATCAATATTAAATATTGATCATAATTTAACAGATATCACTAGAATGAAAGTCACAGGTGGTTATGAGCCACCTGATATGCATTCTAGGAAGCAAACTTAGGTCTTCTGCAAGAGCAGTACATTCTCTTCACTGCTGGGCCCCGTTTCAAGGCCCTTCATTTACTTCTTAATTACGTATATGTCGAGAGGAAGGGGGACATAAACGAAACAGTGTAAAAGTCCCTTTCAAGGGCTGTTGATTTAGCTCAGAGGAGTTGGCATGTCGAGGTAGTTGCCCACAGAGGCTAGAAGCATCGTGACAGGTGGTTGTGAGCTGCCTGAGGCGAGTGCTTCCAACCAAACTCAGAGCTTCTGCAGAGCAGTATATGCTTTTAACAGCTGGGTCATCTCTCTAGCCCCTTATGGAAGTTAGAAAATTACATCTGTGTATGTGTTTTACCTGCTTTGGATGTCTGTGTACCACTTGAATGAAAGGCCTACGGAGACCAGAAGAGGGTGTCAGGTGTCCCGGAACTGGAGTTCTTGTAAGCAGTTGTGAGCCTCCGTGTGAGTGCTGGAAATTGAACCCAGGTCCTCTAGAAGAGCAAGCAGTACTCTGAAGCACTGAGCATCTCTCCAGCTTCAGCCCTTGTGAAATGTTTTAAAGCAATGCATTACTTAGAGAAGGAAGAAGAGGAATAAAAGGAACTACAAGTGGGAGAGAAGTCACTCCCAAAGTGGACCCTAGAAGCTGTGTGCGTCTGCAGAGCTACAAAATGCTTTGCTGAGGCATTCGTGTGCCACTGGACCATAGGCCAGTTGGCTCAGTCTCAATGCCACCATCATGTCACAGTACAACCACCCCTTCTCCAAATAGCTTTTCATCAGGAATATGGCGCACAGTGCCAGGTCTGAATATTTATCCTGGAAATGTGTTCATTTTGGTTCAGTAATTGGTGTGTATGTGTTTCACTCGATTTCATCTCTAGACACTCAGCATTACTTTTGGATTGATGAATGTTTGGAATACTGAACAAAATTTACAAAATATAAATAGAGAATAGATTAGTCCATGTCAAATTGAAATAGGCTCTAGTTGGTAGTGCATGCCTTTAATCCTACCTGGTGGATCTCTGTGACTTTGAGGCGAGCCTGGTCTACAGAGCTAGTTTCAGGACAGCTAGGCCTGCACAAAGAAACCTGTCTCAAAAGAACAACAACAGGGCTGGAGAGATGGCTCAGAGGTTGGGAGTACTGCCTGCTCTTCCAGAGGTCCTGAGTTCAATTCCCAGCAACCACATGGTGGCTCACAGCCATCTATAATAAGATCCAGTGTTTTCTGGCGTGGAAGTGTATGTGCAGATAGAACATTTTATACGTAATAAATAAATAAATAAATAATATTTAAGAAAAAGAACAGCAACAAAAGAAATATGCTCTAGGTTTAATCTCCAGCACTAAAATACATAAACCGAAGAGCATGAAGGTAAAAGTTTATCACAAATAAAAATGTTTTTCCGAAGAAAAATAATTAAAAAATAAAACATCAACAGTAGAACCCCAAAACCTTCTTTGATAAATAGGTATAAGTTAATGGATTTATGTTACTTAAACCCCCAAAGGATTAAAAAAGTAAGTTAAAGACATTTATAAGATATAAATGTATATAAATGTATACACACGTTATAGATGGGAAACTCATGTAAATTAGCAAATCTTCAAAGTGAAAGCATATAAGAAAAAGGAAAAATCAAGGATAACTCAGTTTCAGTTCAAGTCCCAAGATTTTTCCTGTCTTTCATTCTAATAATTCATCTTATTGTATTTTTACCTACCAAATATAATCTGTGCTTTAGAGTGCTTGTGTGTGTGGGAGTTCATGTGTGTGCCTGGGTGTAGAAGCCAAAAGACAAGTCTTTGGTCTCCAGAAAAGCTGCCTATCTCCTTTGAGAGAAGGGCTCCCCTTTGCCTGGAGTCCAGTGATTATTAGGCTGGCCTAGCTAACCAGCCAGCCCAGGGAATCTGCTTGTCTCTGCCTTTCAATTGCTGCAATTACAAGTACACACCACCATCCTTGTCTTTTTTCTTTATTATCCACACAGCATTCTTCCTGCATGTGTGCCCGGAGGTGAGGAGAAGGCACCAGACCTCAGTATAGATGGTTATGAGCCACCATGTGGTTGCTGGGAATTGAACTTAGGTCTTTTGATATAAGAGATGAGGTTCTTTATGATTGAGTGAGGCAACAGAAAAGGTAAAATACACATTATCATCAGGATGAATATGGACAGGATAAAAGCAATCTTTTCAATACAAAACTGTTAAATATCAGTCTTTAGAAATACCAGTGGGCTTAGATAAATCAGGCAGGGAATCATATGAAAGAAGGGAAGTTAGTATGATATGGAAAGGATAGGAGCTCTACAAGGACCAAACATATCTGGGCACAGGGTCTTTTCTGAGACTGACACTCAACCAAGGACCATCTATGGATATAACCTAGAACTTCTGCTCGGATGTGGCCCGTGGTAGCTCAGTAACCAAGTAGTTTTCCAAAGTAAGGGGAACACGGACTATTTCTAACAGGATCTCAAGGGCAGGCTGTTTGACCACCCCCACCCCCCAGGGGAGGAGCAGTCTGTTAGGCCACAGAGGAGGACATTGCAGCCAGTCCTGAAGATACCTGATAAAACAGGGTCAGATGAAAGGGGAGGAGGTCCTCCCCTATCAGTGGACTTGGAAAGGGGCAGGGAGGAGACCGGGGAGGGAGTGTGCGGTTGGGGAGGGAATGAAGGAGCGGGATACAGCTGGGACACAGAGTTAACAAAATGTAACTAAAAAGAAAAAAATAATAAAAAAAAATAAATAAAATAAAATAAAAAAAAAACTCCCATTGGCCAGTTACTTTTTTTAATGAAATTAATTGTCTGCATTGTTGGAACATGGTCTTAGAATTCTTTCATGTGAATAGAATCCTGAGTACTTGTGAAAACACTGCAAGAAAACAAGACAAGATTCTTTGAACCTCAGTTTCTTCAAAACATGGAATTGTTTTGGGGATGTGTTTTCATGCTTCTCTATGGAAAAAAAAAAACATGTTTTCCAAGTCTGCCATGTCTTGTAATAGTATGTGAATGTTTTGGTTTATGATAAGTAAAGTTGTTTTTGTTAAAATTCCAAGTTGGGGATTTTAGTTTTTCCACACCTGATAAGTGTCTTGTGGGAAGAATGGTCTTTGCCAGGTAGAAATCGTTTATTCTGAGGACTTTGAGGGGTATGACAGCCCAGAGGAAGAAGGCACAGTGGCTTGGAGGAGGACTGCTTGCTGCAGGTTCCTCCTGCTGCTGCATTTGCTGTTTGCTGATTTGCTGGTCACCTGAACTTCTGGATTTCTGGACGACCGATAGTGGTATTGGCCCCAAAAGAATCCTATGACCCTACCAAGCGGGAAGTAGCAGAGAGAGCTCTGGCCCCTCTCCCCACTAACCTTCTTACCCTCCTCCCCTGTGTTGGGGGAAGGGGGTTGGAAGGGAGGTAGACGCGTTTAATAACCCGAAATAAAGTAGGTTTGTTTAAAAAAAAAAATCAAGGTCAACAGGTTGAATTCATGAGTTCTTTCGTGTAACCCTTCTTAACCTGTGGAGCATAAACTGTCTGGGCCTCTGAATGAAGTTGGCTATTGTTTGAGACTTTGATCCACTTACTTTACCAGCTTCCTTCTCCCAGGTCCCACTGTCTCCAGAGCAATGACAGGGGTGTGCCTTCACAACCTGCAAGTTCTTTTTAAAGAAATGGTCTCACATAATCCAGTGTTTTTTCTGATTTAGAGCAGTGATGGCTACAAAAATAGTGTCAATGATGAGCCAGATAATTTAAAATGAGTTTTCTTGTGTGAATGGTACCTCAATAAGGTAAAAATCCTGTAATATCTTACTGTACTGTTTTACTTCACTGAACCTTTTTGCTAATAAGTGTTAAGAAAGGAAGAAATTCAAGCATCCAGTTCCTGTATCAGCAGGATTGTGTAAAGGTCCTTGTAGCTAAACATAATGACCCAAGTTGAAATTGTGAAATCTACAGGATTCCAACTTCTAAACACTCTCCTCTGACCTCTTTGCATGTACTGCCATTTCCCAGCCTGCTGTGTGTCCTTATATACATATGCCCACACAATAAATAAGTGCATAAATACGTTAATGTTAAAAAGGATTTATTATCCACACAGCATTCTGCCTGTATGTATGCCTGCACACCAGAAGGGGGCACCAGACCTCAAAATAAGAAAGTTATGAGCCACCATGTGGCTACTGGGAATTGAACTCAGGACCTTCGGAAAAACAGCCACTGCTCTTAACCTCTGAGCCATCTCTCCCAACATCCCACCTGGCCCTTTTTAACATGGTTTCTGGGAATTGAACTCATGTTCTCATGCTTTCAAGGCAAACATATTACTGACTGAGGGTCCCCCAGTTTCCACACTTTATTTAATATTTTAGAATTTTGAGACAGAGTCTCTCTGTGTAGCTCTGGCTGCCCTGAAATTTGCTATAAAATCAGGCAGGCTTTTAACTTTTAACCCATCTTTGTCTTCTAGGTTTTAGTATTACAGGCTGTGCCACTGTATCTGTCTGGCTACGTACTTTTTTTTTTTTTTTTTTTTTTCAATTTTTGAGACAGGGTTTCTCTGTATAGCCTTGCCTGTCCTGGAACTCTATAGGCTGGCCTTGAACTTATACAGATCTGCCTGCCCCTGCCTCCTGAGTGATGGGATTAAAAGTATGTGCCACCACTGCCCAGCCATACTTTAGATTTTTTAAGGTAGGTTGTTAGATCTTCTTTGTCTGATGATTTGGGTCCCCAGAATTGTTGTGAGAGTTTGGGTATATAAATCAATGCTTGAGCCCTTGCCTAGAATGTGTGGGACCCTGGATTCAATCCCAAGGACCCAAACCAAAAAAATATACAGACACTGACTATGACCATAAACCGTCCTGCTGAGTAGTCTGAGATAGAGCATTTGAGACCAGTAGTTTGAGTCCAGGCTGAGCAACATAGCAAGACCCTGTTTTCAAAACAAAAGTTAAGTTGGGCAGTGGTGGCACATGCCTTTAATCCCAGCATTTGGGAGGCAGATCACGTGGGTCTCTGTGAGTTCAAGGTCAGCCTGGTCTAACAGAGTGAGCTTCAGGGCTGCCAAGGTTACAATACACCTAGAAACACTGTCTTGAAAACAAACAGGGACTATTTCTGACTTGAACTCAAAGGCTGGCTCTTTGACCTCCCTCCCCACACCCTAGGGAGGAGCAGCCCTGCTAAGCCACAGAGAAGGACTTTGCAGCCAGGCCTGAAGATACCTGATAAGCTAGGGTCAGATGAAAGGAGAGGAGATCTTCCCCTATCAGTGGACTTGGAAAGGGGTAGGGGGAAGATGATGGAGGGAGTGTGAGATTGGGAGGGAATAAGGGAACAGGATACAGCTGGGATACAAAGTAAATAACCTGTAACTAATATTTTAAAAAAAATAAAAAATAATTAATTAAAAAAAGAAAACAGACAAAAGTGAAAGCAGCATATAGACTAGGGAAATAGCACAACAGTTAAGAGTTACTGGTCTTGCAGAGGACCTGAGTTCTGTTCCAAGAACCCATGTCAGGCAGCTCACAACCTACCTGTAACTTTAGCTGCAGGTGGACATGATGCCTCCTGCCTCTGTGAGCACTGGCACTCAAACGCACATACCCTACACAGACATACAAATAGGGCTTTTTAAAAACCACTAAGGAGAGAAAGCCCCCACACTAACAGAAGCTGTTAGCTGGATTTTTATTTTCATTGATCACCAAAAATGTTTTGTAGCCCAGTGGTGATGGCACACACCTTTAATCCCAGCAGTCGGGAGGCAGAGGCAGATGGAGTGCTATGAGTTTGAGGCCAGCCTGATCTACATAGCAAGTTCTAGGACAACCAGTGCTATTACACAGAGAAACCCTGTCTTGGAATTTTTTAATTAAATTTTTATTTTTTTTAATATTAGTTACAGTTTATTAACTTTGTAACCCCCTCCCTCATTCCCTCCCAATCCCACCCTCCCTCCCTCATCTCTTCCCTGCCCCTTTCCAAGTCCACTGCTAGGGGAGGACCTCCTCCCTTTCATCTGACCCTGTTTTACCAGATATCTTCAGGCCTGGCTGCAAAGTCCTCCTCTGTGGGCTAGCAGGGCGGCTCCTCCCTCATGTGGGAGGGGAGGATTTTTTTTTAATGTTTTGGGATTCAAAAATAAAACAAGTGTGAAGTTTGAAATGGAGTTATATAATTACTTATTTCTGGTGAGACCTCCAACATTTAGATATAAGGCTTCTCTTTCTTATACTCAAACAAAGTATTTTCTAACCTTGTCAGCTCTATACCTGACTGACTTGCCAATAAGTTTAATATTTCTTTCACTAAAAAAATGCTGTTACTTAATTAGCTTTTGTTTTTAGTGCTGATAATCTACATTGGCTTTTTAAATTGTTTCATTTGCTCTCCCCCCCCCCCCCCCCCCCCCGCCATCAATCTGATTGTATTCAGGCAAGCTGATGAAGAATTCCAGATTCTGGCAAACTCTTGGAGATACTCAAGTGCATTTACCAACAGGATATTTTTTGCCATGGTGGATTTTGATGAAGGTTCTGATGTATTTCAAATGGTAAGATGTTTGGTTTCTTTTTTTTTTCTGTGGGAATAATATATGGATAAGGCAAATTTCATTTTTGGTGACTACAAACACTTAAATAGTGGGGCTAGAGGATGGCTACTTGGTTAAGAATTTGAGTTCCTCTTGCAGAGGACTGGGGTTTGGGTCCTCTGCAAACCCCAGTTGGAAAGGTATAATTGTTACTGTCTATCAGGTGTGGTGGTACATACTTTTAATCAGACCACTCAGGAAGCAGGAAAGAGAATTACTGCAAATTTAAGGCTAGCCTGGATGACATAGCAAAACCCTGTCTCAAAAAAAGGCTTATTTTTTTCTTAGTACTTAGTTTTATTTATTTTTTAATATTAGTTATAGTTTATTAACTTTGTATCCCAGCTGTAGCCCCCTCCCTCATTCCCTCTCAATCCCACCCTCCCTCCCTCATCTCCTCCTTGCCCCTTTCTAAGTCCACTGATAGGGGAGGACCTCCTCCCGTTTCATCTGACTCTGGTTTATCAGGTATCTTCAGGACTGGCTGCAATGTCCTCCTCTGTGGCCTAGCAGGACTGTTCCTCCCTCAGAGAGTTGGGGGGGGGATCAAAGAGCCAGCCATTGAGTTCATGTCAGAAATAGTCCCTGTTTCCCCTACTAGAAAACCTACTTGGGTACTATGCTACCATGGGCTACATCCGAGCAGTGGTTCTAGGTTATATCCATACATGGTCCTTGGTTGGAGATAATTTTTTAAATGATTTTTTTTTTTGCCATTAAAATTATTTTCTTGGTAACTTTTGTTTTCATGGACTACTCTTTATTCAGCTAAACATGAATTCAGCTCCAACTTTCATCAACTTTCCTCCAAAAGGAAAACCCAAAAGGGCTGATACATATGAGTTGCAGGTGCGAGGGTTTTCAGCGGAACAGATTGCCCGGTGGATCGCAGACAGAACTGATGTCAACGTAAGTTTCCCTACTTTTCACTGTCTTTGAATTTGAATCTTAACTGAGGATCATAGCTGGTGTTGTCTTCATGTCACTGAGATGGAATAACTTGGCAGTTATAAGTAGGATTTAATAGGATCATCCTGATGAAGAGTAAAATTATAAAATATGTTGTGTTGTCTTGTCCTGTTGGGTTCAGAATAGAAACTGACTTCCTGACATTAGTATATGGGTTATCTAGCTGTACTTGGCAAGCATGTCTTAATCTAAAAGGCATTGTGTTTTGATTAACTGAAACAATACTCTGCCTATTACATGTCATTTCTAGGATATAGTTTAGACTGTTTGATTGGAGTAAAATGGGGGAAGAAAGAAATTTTCCCTGAAAATACATTTTGACTGCTTTCATTTCATTATTATTAATTTGAAAATAAAATTTATACTTTAAAATGTTTTTCTCTCTCCTCTCCATTAGATCAGAGTAATTAGACCTCCAAATTATGCTGGACCCCTAATGTTGGGATTGCTTCTGGCTGTTATTGGTGGACTTGTGTATCTGCGAAGAAGCAATATGGAATTCCTCTTTAATAAAACTGGGTGGGCTTTTGCAGCTTTGGTAAGTGAACTGAAGAAGAAAAATAGATTGAAAGAGAGTCTGATAATCTAATTTTCTTTCTTTTTTACTTTAAAAAATAGTTTTTAATTTAACATTTTTTTTTTACATCTTGACCTCAGTTTCCCCTCCCCCCTCTCCTCCCAGACCATCCCCCCATGGTTTCCCTTTCCCCTCTTCACATCCAGTACTCCTCTCTTTCTCTTCAGAAAAGAGCCAACCTCAATGACTATCAAGTTGCCGTAGCATATCAAGTTGCAGAAAGACTACCCCCGCTTCTATTAAGGCTAGATAGATAGCCAGGACAACACAATAGACTGGAAAAGGTCCCAAAGGCAGGCAGCAGAGTCAGAGACTCTGGTTCTGGAAATCAAACCCCAGTTCTTTGCAAGAGAAGCAAATGTTCTTAACAGCTGAGGCCATGCACAGGCCCTCAACTTCTTTACATAGACTCTGAGAACTGAACTCAGGTCATTATCTTGGTTACTTTGCTATTGCTGTGATAAATCACCCTGAGCAAGAAAACTTTCTAAAAGAACGCATTTAATTTGACTTTGCTTTAGGGGGTTAGAGTTCTTGATGGTGGGGTGAAGGAACAGTTGGAAAGCCCACATCTCAATCTACAGTCAGGAGGTAGAGAGTATAATGAGAATGGCACAAATCTTTTGAAACCTCAAAGCTCATCCCCAGTGACACACCTCCTTTAAAAAGGCCACACCTCTGAATTCTTCCCAAACAGTTTCCTCACCTGCATACCAACCATTCAAAGATAAGCCTTTATGGGTCTGTCTTAGTCATTGTTCTATTGCTATGAAGAAACAGTATGACTACAGCAGCTCTTATAAAGGAAAGCATTTAATTAGAGCTTGCTTACAGTTCAGAAGTTTAGTCCATTATCAACATGGTGTGAAGCATGGCAGCATACAAGCAGACCTGATGCCTGAGAGGTAGCTGAGAGTTCTTCATCTGGATCCATTGGCAGGAGAAAGAGGGGGAGCCAATAGGCCTCTTATGGGCTTCTGAAACCTCAAAGCCCACTGTTAGTGACACACTTCCTCCAACAGGGCCACACCTACTCCCAACAAGGCCAAGTCCTAATCCTCTCAAACAGTGCCATTTCCTATGAGCCTGTGGGTTTCATTTTCATTCAAACTACCACATTCCACTCTCTGATCCCCATAGGCTTATGGCCATATCATATTGTAAAATGCATTTAGTACAAATTCAAAACTCTCCATATTCAGTTATCACCTTCCATCACGTCTGTCCTGGAGATTCAAACACATTGTCAAGGTTTGTGGCAAGCACCTTTATAGGCCAAGGCAGCTCTCTGTGCCTAGGATTTTGTGTGTTTTTATCTCTGGTCTTAAAATGGATTTATATCCTTCATTATGTTATAAGGATTTCTAAAGCTTCAAGCAACTGATTCTGTTTATGGTTTTGATTTTTGTTTTTGGGTCTGTGTGTATATGTTCGGGTGTTTCATGCATGAGTACAGGTACAGGTAGAGGCCAGACAGGGGCATTTGATTCCCTAGACACTGAAGTTGCAGGCAGTTATGAGTCACCTGATATAGGTCTTGGGAACCAAACTAAGATCAGTGTGTGCTCTTAACAACTGACCATCTCTCAAGCCCTAGTGTACAGTTCTTTTGAAAATATTTTTTCAAATATATCTTCAATATTCAAATTTGATACTATTCTGTTTAGTTATGGTTTAATAATCCCTTCAGAAATGATACTGATGTGATCCTTGTGGTACAATATAAACCTTAATAAATCATTTATCTGAAAAAAAAAGTCATGTGTTTGCTGAGTGGATAAGCATTTTCCTGCAATCACTAATCTAATCAAGATGAGCTAGCTGGATCATGAATATTCATTATTGTTGTTTCCTAGTGTTTTGTACTTGCCATGACATCCGGTCAAATGTGGAACCATATAAGAGGACCACCATATGCTCATAAGAATCCCCATACAGGACATGTGGTAAGAGATGATGGGAATTTCTTTGCATTGTATACTAAAGTTAAAGTAATGACAATTACCCTGTGACACCAGTGAGACAAGAGCTAAATACATTTTTAACTCTAACCTCTGTTAATGTGCTTCAGTTACAATTAGAGCATACAGTGCTCCAAAGTGGGACATTCTTGATTCCATTTATTGAGTTCTTTTGGAAGCCTTAAACTAAATATAAGAATAAATCAAGAATTTGAGTATCTGTTGTTTCTAGGCACTGTGCTAGGTACTATCAGATGCAGTGATTGATTGGGAAAATGTGGTCCCTATTGTCATGTCTGCATTGTTTTACCTCATAATTTTATACAATAAATATTATTCTCTTCATACATTTTGTTATAACATATATAGTATAAATGCAAAGAAAGAACAAGTAAATAAATAATACAGAAATAGCTTTTAATAACCTAACAAAGTATGGTATATGTTTACATACAGCAAGTGAATTGATAATTTTATAAGGTTTAACATAACATATTTTATGGTTAGGAAACTACCATTCAATGTATAATTTAAAGATTCCATTTTGTCTTTCACTCCCAGAATTATATCCATGGAAGCAGCCAGGCCCAGTTTGTAGCTGAAACCCACATTGTTCTTCTGTTCAGTATCCTTTTCCAATAAGCCCTTATTGTTGCATTTTAATTTGCCTATTTTCTTACAATCTTGTATTCTCTGTTGGAGCTGCTGTCCTAATGCAGACATAATATCCTTTGGAAGTTCTGCTGTTTGTGTCCTTCTTCTTGACCCAGTAAGTTAAAGACTAATGGCAAACCTTAAGTCTGACAAAGCCAGGTTGATTAGCTCACTGATATATAGAAGTCTACACATAATGGGAAACATGGGATGTCTTTTGAATAAAGGAAAAACAGTACTGTGAGAGTTTAGAAGAAAGGTAAGGTTTGGGTGATACTTAAAATGAAACATTAGGCCAGTCAGTGGTAGCACACGCCTTTCATGCCAGCACTTGGCATGCAGAGGACAGCCTGGTCTATAGAGAGAGAGTTCCAGGACAGCCAGGGCTCTCCCGAGAAACCCTATCTCAAAAAAAAAAAAAAAAAAAAAAAAAAAGAGGAAGGTAACGAGAGAGAGAGAGAGAGAGAATATGAAGCATTATTTTAATAGGCTAAAAGTATAGTTGGGGCTGAGAGGCAACTCAGTGGTTTAGCACTTGAGTAGCATGCACAAGACTCCCAGTGCAATTCCTGGCACCCTTTAGAAAACACTTAGAGATAAGAGCCGCACTAACAAGGAGAAAAAATGCTGGAGAGAAGACCTGGCTGAGTTGTTGTTGTTTTGTTTTGGTTTTTTGGTTTTTTTTAATGCAGCAATGGACTAGAGAGAAAGACTCACAGGCAGGTAAAGAGGCACTGACCTCTACACATTTGTGACACAAGTGCAAACAGGGTCACCTGTGTCGCTCACGCACACATAGCCACTGAATTAAACACATGAAAAATGCACAGTCATTCCTAACAAGGCCACTGAAGAGAGAATGCAAGATGGTAACGAAGAGATGAATGTGTCATCTCTCTTAGCACTTAATTATATCCACATGCAGTAGCATACAATGTGCATCATGGATATAATTAACTCAGGAATGTTTGACCATTATTAGTACTCACAAAACTATGGGGGGATTTTCTCTTTTCTGCCTGAACAGACTTTTCTTTAAACATTGCTCTTTTATTATTCAGCCAAGTGATGTGCTGCTTGTTTGCAGTAGTACTTCCATTTGATTAGGTAGTTGCTGTTATTAAAATGAATAAGGTCATGCTACATGTGGGACTTTTCTTTTTCATTAGAATAAGACAAAATTAGGTAGCTGAGTCATAATTTGAATAGTTGAAGATCTGGATAAGTTTTTGAGATTATTTTTTTCACGTAAAAGTGAGTTGCTATTGTTATTTTCGTAAATGGTGCGTATTTCAAGTTTGTCCTTTTCAGAGGTGTTAAAATGTTGACAATGACTACTCAGTATTTTTCTTTCTTTCTTTTTTTTTTTTTTGTTTTTTGTTTTTGTTTTCGTTTTTCATGGTCGTGGCTATCCTGGACTCGCTTTGTAGACCAGCCTGGCTTCAAACTCAGATCCACCTGCCTCTGAGTCCAGAATGCTCTATTTAAAGGTGTGTGCTACCATGCCTGGCTACAGGCAGTTTATTTCAAAGTATGATATAAAAAAAATATTTTCTCTCTAATATATATATATATATATGTATATTATATACTGGATGTTTTATGTATATTTAACTTAGGAAAATGAATTATTTTTCAACCCTAATTCTTTTTGGAGGGGTATCAGTTTGAGGTTTTGGTGTTGTTTTGTTTTGTTGCTTTGAAACAGGGTCTTGCTATGTAGCACCAGGTGGCCTGTGATATATAAACCAGGCTGGCTTTGAAGATCACAGAGATCTACCTGTCTCTTTCTCTCCCCAGTGCTGAGATTCAAGATACGTATTACCAGTTCAGGTGCATGGGGCCAGTTTCGTTTTGTTTTGATTTAGACAAGAGCCTTACGTAGCCCAGGCTAGCCTTGCTACTATGCCTGGCTCAACTTATCCTTTTTTTAAGAAAGTATTTCTCCATTGGGCCTTGGCTGTCCTGGACTCACTTTGTAGACTACGCTGGTGCAGAACTCACAGAGATCTGCCTGCCTCCGCCTCCCAGGGTGCAGTGTGCATTCAACTTTACTTTTGAATTAGATCTTTAGAGTAAATAATATTGTATACATATACTAGCATTTGTTTTGGTTACTGTTTTAAAATGAAGACTTAAAGTTTTATAAGTTCATCTTAATTTTCTCCGTGAAAAACTGCAAATAGGAAAGTGGTATGTCTCTTGTGGCTACATGGATTTCTCCTTAAACAGATCTTCTAAGATGGAGGGGTTACCTTAGGCATGGTGCTTTTATGTGAAGCTGCTACCTCTGACCTGGATATTGGAAAGAGAAGGAGTAAGTCACATGCTATAGTGTTCCAATTCTGCCTTTAATACAGAAAAAAAAAAGAATCTTCTAATCACTTTCCCTTTATAGGAAATATGAAAAAGAAACTGAAGCTTCTAGGAAGATTTTTCTGTTATTCCATCAAGAACAACTAAAAATTTTAATGCGTTTCTTCTCACTGTTTTGTTTCTTTGTCTTTCTTTTATTTTGAGGTTAGCTCTGCTATGTGGCCAAGCTGACTTTGAATTTTCTGTCCTCCTTCTTCAGCCTGCATGCTCAACATCTCTTTCCACTTACAAGAACTTCCTTTTTTTTGAGACAGGGTCTATATAACCTAGATTGGTTTCAAACTGAGGCTGACCTTGAATTTATGATCCTCCAGTCCCTGCCTTCCAAGTGCCAAGATTACAGATAGTGCCATTGTGTCTGGTTGTATGCTTCGCTGTGGACCGAACCTAGGGATTGGTGCATGATGGTCACATACTTTACCAACTAAGCTGCTTCTCCAGCCCCATCTACATATACATGTATATCTACACAAACTGTATATGTAGGAATCAGACTTGATAGTGCTGGCCCATAATTTCATACATTCATGAGGGTGAGGTAAGGGGATCACGAATTCAAGGCCTAACTGGTCTATAAAATGAGGTGGAAGCCAGCCAAATTACAACCTAATTAATACCCTGTTTCAAAATGAAAAAGTAAAAAGGGGACCGGGCATATAACTCCATGGTAGACTGCTTGCGTAATATGTGCTAGGCTGTAGATTCAGTCCCAAAACAAAGCAACAGGAAAAAACAAAACAAAACTATAAACAGGTCTGGGGCTACAGCTGTATAGTAGAGTGCTTGTCCTAAATGGGCAAGGTCACCAGCAGTACAAAAAGTTGTGTGTGTGTGTTTGTGTTTGAATCCTATACTCACTTTAAAATTAAACACTTGGGCATGCCTTTAACCCCAGTACTTAGGATGCAGATGCAGGTGGATCTTTGATATTGAGGCCAACCTAGTCTAGAGTTCCAGAACAGCCAGGGTTACCGAAAGAAACCCTGTCTTGAAAATAAAAGAAAAAAAAAATACCTGGAAGGCAGAAGTCAGATTGATGCAAGTTTGAGGCCAGACTGGTAAACATGGCAAGTTCTAGGCCAGACAGGGCTATCTATATATTGATAATCTGCCTTGAAACAAAACAAATAAAAACTTAGGTGGGCCATGGTAGGACACACCTGTAATTCCAAAACTAGGAAAGTAGAAACTAAAAGAATTAGTAACAATATCATGTACCCTTCGCAGCATCTACATTTTATGCTTTAGAACATTCACGTATTGTTGGGTACCGTAGGTGGCATAGTCTACAATCCCGGCACTCCCGAGGCTAAGACGAGAGGATTGCTGCCAATTCAGGCCGTCCTATGTTATACACAGTAAAACCCTGTGGCTGGACTTTTACCACTTCCAGTTCTTCTTTCTTCCACCCTTCTCCACCCTTTTTCTTCTGCCCTTTCAACCCCCTAACACTAGATAAGAGAGAAAAAGGAGACAATGGAAAAGAAAGGGATACCTGAGAAAAGCCAGCAGTCAGAAAGGGTACTACCTGGTTATTATTAGACTACTTCCTGCTGATTAGGGGCTTTTAATTCCTCAGGGCAAGTTTGACCTTTGCCATCAAGAGATCTATTTACTTCTTGTTGTTTCTTTTTGGCACATGAATACTTAACAGCCACCAACAACAAACAACCAATAACCCTCCCTGTCTCTCAGGGCCCTAGCATTTATACACCCTCTGAAAAGTCCCCAGAATTCCAAACACAACTGGCAAAATCATTCCCCAGCCAGAACACAAGGCCAATTGTAGTCAGCTGGGGCAAAGCAGCCCTACATCCCCACATCTGGGATTAAAATGAAAACATATTCTTATATTTCTGTTTTGTTTTGTTTTTTAAAGAAAACAAAGTTCCAAAGTACTCACTACAAAACCCTGTCTCAAAAAATGAAAAGGCCATGCAGGGTAACAACACTTGTAATTAAAGTGCTTGGCAAGTGGGACCCAAAAGGATGAAGGGGTTCAAGGCCATATTTTGAGGCACCTCGGGCTACATGAGATCCTGTCTCAAACAAATACTCACACACTTTTAATTGTTACCAAAAAAAATGCCTACCATATATTTGTTTTTAGAACAGTTTCTGGGATTTTGTTAAAATGTTAAATCATTCATACCTAATATTTATGTTCTATAAGAAGGTGAATATGTTTGATTTCTGATTTGACAATTAACTTGTCAAGGATGGATGTTGCACACCTGTAATCCAAGCACTCAGAAGGCAGGTGCATCTCTGAGTTTGAGGCCCATTTGCTTTACAAAGCAAGTTCTAGGCCATTGACTGCTACATAGTGGGACCCTGTCTCAAAAGTAATAAAAAGAAACCTTTCATTATAAGAAGAACATATCTATTAACCATTTAATACATAATACATTATGTTTTTTATTTTCTAGATTTGTTTTAAAAGTTTTTATTATTTTTCTTTCATATGTGTGTATGAATGTATGTATGTACTTATACATGAACGCATGTATGTATATATGTATGTATGTGAATGCATGTAAGCATGCCATGACATACATGTTGAAGTCAGAGGAAAACATGTAGGAGTCCCTTCTCTCCTCCTACTATGAGGGTATAAAAGTATGTTTTATTCACCTATGTAACTGTTGTCTTGGAGGCTTACTGCTAACCTAGGCCTAGTCCTGGAAGCTTCTATCCTCTGTACAATCTAATCTAGGCTTAAAATGCTTTCAGCCTCCAAGACTTACTACTGAATAAGCTCACCCTTTCTAGTTCTTTCTGAACTCTGGCTGGCTGGTTCAACTCAGCTGTTCTGGCCCAAACTCTTCTCCAGGCTCACTGATTCAAACTGGCTTCTCTGTTTCTGACTGAATTGCTTTGCTTATAACCTTATACTAACGTTAGCAAGCTGTGCTACTCATACTAACTTTGGCAAGATGTTCTAATCTTATGGCTCCTTCTCATTCTGTGACTCCTGTCTTCACCTGCATCTATCTTGTTCATTCTCTACAACCCATCTCTAAAATTGATCCTGTAAAACTGTCTCCTTTCCCTCTGCTTCTGGACTGCTGTCTCTTAAGTCTCCCTCTCTTTCCTCCATGTTCTCATAAGAGCTGGGCATATCATATTCTGTCAAATGTTTCTCTGATTTGCCATTTTGTCTGGCTGTCAATTAGATAGCACTTTCAAACATTGGTGCTTCCTTTTACAAACTAAATTAACCTTCATTGTTTGGGATTAAATGTGTGCACATTCTAGCTGGATCACACAGAACTGGAATATATTTGAATGTGATCAGAATAGCCTTGTTGCTAGATTAAAATTCCTCTAGATGTGGGTTCTGGGGATCAAACTCAGGTAGTCAAGCTTGACAGCAAGCACCTTTCCTTGCTGACCCAATCTTGATTTGTGTAAATTACTCATTTCAGTATTCTTTATTAGAAATATGCCATCTAAACACAATCAGGTATGAATTTTAAGTGGTAAGACACTGTCCCCGAATGTATTGAAATTGTCATAATTTCATCTAGTTCTCAGATTCTTCCCTTTCTTATGATAGTGTCACTATATAGCCCTGGTTGGCTTGGAATTTGCTATGTAGATAGAGAACACTTGCATCTGAACTCACCATGTAGCTCAGGGTGGACTTGAACTGCTGGCTCTGTACTATACATCCTGAGTATTGAATAGCATGTGTGCTCTACCACACCTGCCATTTTTTTCTTTAAGATTTATTTTTATAATGCTTAATTTTATATGTGTGTCTGTCTGTATGGGTATGTGGGTGTGCACATATGAGTACAGGTACCCTTGGAAGCCAGAGGTACTAGATTCCTCCTGGAATTGGGGTTACACATCACATTGTTGTGATGTGCCCAATGGGGGTGCTTGGAAGTGAATTTGGGTCCTGTGGAAGAGCCAGCCAGCCATACTTAGAACTGTTGAGCCATCTCTCAAGTTTGATGCTTGTCCTTTTTTGTCTTTTGGAGATGGACTCATATAGGCCAAGTTGATCTCACACTATGTAGTCTAAACTGGCATTGAACACTTGATATTCCTACCTCCTCTTCCTAAGTGCTGGGATCACAGATATAAAACTTTTTTTAAACATTAAATTGTTGAAGGCCATGATGCTTTTAATTAATTAATTAATTAATTAATCCTTTTTATCTTTTAAGCCAGGGTCTTGCTATGTATCCCTGGTTAGCCTAGAGCTTGCTTCGTAGACTGACCTTATACTTGCTTCAATCCTGCTGCCTCTGACTCAAGAATTCTTGGATTATAGGCATAAATTGATATATTTAAAGAAATGTATTGTTTTATACAATTGAATTGCATAGGTTTGTAAGCGAATTGACTAATGCATTGTAGTGGAGTAAGTTTAGGAACAAGGTTAAAAAATGGAGACTAGAGCTGGTGGTCGGTGGTTGCACACACCTTTAATCCCTGCACTCTAGGGGGCAGAGGCAGGTAGATCTCTGAGAGTTTAAGGGCAGCCTGGTCTAAACAGAGCTAGTTCCAGAACAGCCAGAGCCTGTCTCTGAACAGGGATTGGGGGTGGGAGGTGGGAGTAATTCTCAGAGAAGCCCATACTAATGTTCTGTGATGTGCCTTACTTTATTCCAGGGCATTTCTCTTCTCCTAACCCTTGTCTTCAGAATCTGTATTAAAATGATAAAGCCCCTCCCCCAAATGGGACTTAAATATTATTTGAAAGCTGTTTCTTAGAAAATTTTCCTCTTTGAAAGTATACAGTCTACTATGCTGGTATTTTGTTAGGTGCAACTTGATGATTTTACCCTTTCTCTTCACAGTGATGTGTGTAGCTGGAATTGGACTTGTTGTGTTATTCTTCAGTTGGATGCTCTCTATCTTTCGATCAAAATACCATGGCTATCCATACAGGTATATTCTCATTTTACCTACACTTAAAATGATTAGAATTAATATTGTTTTGTAATATTTTGTGGTTTAGCTTTTTATTACTTCATTTTGAAATGTCTTTCTGCTTCCACTTTTATATTTGCTTTGTTTTGTTTTTGCAACAGGCTCTCATCTACACCAGGCTAGCCTTAAACTCCTGATCCTCCTCCTTCTCTCTCTCTCTCTCTCCAAGACAGGGTTTCTCTGTGCAACCTTGGCTGTCTTGGACTCAATTTGCAGACCAGGCTGGCCTCGAACTCACAGAGATCTGCCTGCCTCTGCCTCCCTGAGTGCTGAGATTACAGGCATACACCACACCACCTCAAACCAGCTTGATTGTCCTTTTTCTATCACCCAAATTCTGGGATTACGGGCGTACACTATTATACTCTGTCTTTTGGAGATTATTATACTTGAGGGTGCGTTTTATATGTTGGTGCTGTTTTTGTGACAGTATCTCACTATGTATTTCTCACTGGTTTGTAACTCATTATGTAGACCAGACTGCCCTTGAACTTGGCAGGAGTATTTCTGCATCCCATGTGCTGGGACTAGAAGCATGTACTTCTCCTGCCCTGGTTCATGTGGTCTCTGTTCATCTCCCTCTTCTTCTTCTCCTCCCTATCTATGTGGGTGCTAGAAACAAATTCTGGTCATCTGGAAGAGCAGCAAGCACTCTCTGAGCCATCTCTCCAAGCCCTTTGGGGTTTTTGTTTTGTTTGTTTGTTTGGTGTTCTTGAGGAGCTTGGGGTGGTGTTTGGTTCTTTGATGACAGGATTTCTCTGTGTAGCCCTGCATGCCCTAGAACTATTATTTATAGATCAGGCCTGGAACTTATCTGATCTGCCTGCTCCTGCCTCCCGAGTACTGAAAGTAAAGGCATGAGCCACCATGCCTCACCTTTTTTGTTTGGTTTCTGTTTTATTTTTTGTGTGTAAATGTGTTTAACGGATGGGTGTTACATCTCCTGGAGCTGGAATTACAGGTGATTCCCAACCCCTTCGTCATGTCAGGCGGCTCACAGACATCTGTAAACCCTGCTCCAGGATATCCAATGCCTGCAGCCTCTGAGGGAACCTGTACTGACAGGCAGGTTACAGGGAACCTGTACTCATACACAGACTCATGCATATAATTAAAATAAATAACTAAATCTTTTTAAAAAAAAAAAAAAAACAGAAAACAGCCAGATAGTTCCAAATGTTCATAATGTTTATGCAGACCCCTGTGACTAGAGGAGAAAATTGTAACAAGTTTTCAGTTTTGCTGTTACAGACAACTGAAATGGTGGCTGGCCTGTGGTTTTATAATCTGAGTACTGGTTAACATAATTTTTTTAAGAATTTATTTATTTTTATCTTTTTGAGTGTTTTACCTGCATGCATATATCTATGTGTAGCAATACGTTTCTGATGCCCACAGAAGTCAGAAGAAGGGTTTTAGAGCCCCTGGAAATGGAGTTAGCAACAGTTGTGAGCTGCCATGTTGGTGCTGGGAATTGAACTTGAGTCTTCTTCAAGAGTTACGTATGCTCTTAACTGCTGAGCCATCACTCCAGCTTCCATGATTTCTGTTTTACTACAACCTCATCGGTATTACAGACCTATAATAAGCCCAGCACTCAGGACAGAGGCAGGATCAGACCTGGATTATCTTTGGCTACATAATGACTTTAAGGCCAACGTGGACTCTGTGAGACAGTATCTCAAAAAAAATAAATAAATAACTGCTGGGTCTTTGAGTGTTTCTCACTTTTTGTTATTGATACTCAAGTCATTGTAATATATTAAAGTCAATATATACTACATATTTATAAGAAGTAAACTTACTTTTCTTCCAGAGACTAACGTATTGATTTTTTTTCCAGCTTTCTGATGAGTTAAAGAAGGTTCCAGAAAACATAGACACTGTGGTAATGGAAACTGAAAAATAAGAGATGTGTGGTATTTGAAGAATGCAACTCGTGTATTTTATATTACCTCTTTTTTGTTTCAAGTAATTTAAATAGTTAATCATTTAACCAAAGATGTGTAGTGCCTTAACAAGCAATTGTAAGATCATGAAGTATTTGGAATTATTCTCCTCTTAACCGTCCCTTCCCAATAAACTTATGAAACAGGTTGATTTTTGTAGAATTAAGTACTTTACAAAAATTTAAAACTACTACTTCATTTTACTTAGAGAAAATTCAAAAATACTTTAGTTAACTTTTGGTCTTCTGATTTTATCTTATCTAAGGTTGGTTGGGGATGGAAGGTTCTGGGCAGGAATTTCCAACTCTGCCTATTACAAATAACTGCATCTGGAAGCCATCAGTAGTTTCCCTTCTTTGTGGAGATATATGTGCTTTACAAATCTCTCCTTTGGGGCCAAGGTATCATATGCACTATGATATGCTGAAAATGGACCATGTAGCCTTTTAAAGACACATCTGTCTTCCTGTATATTTCCTACAGAAATCAGAGCTACATATGCCCCATACACATTAAGAAGTACCTCTAAACTAAAGACTGTGCTTTCTGCTTGAGTGTGCTATAACTACCATGTGCATGGAAAAGTTTTTGATTGACTGTTTCTAGTTCTATTTAAAATGGCCTTTCTCTAATAATCATAATTTGTTGCTAAAAATCAATATAACTTACAAACTGGTCTCTAATGTTTGCCTAACTTAGACATTGTCACTGATCTCATTTTTACCTAACAAAAAAAATGAACTGAGTTGTGATCATGGAAAGGACTATCTTAGAATGAGAAAAGAAAATCATGAAATATTAATTTGTTGCCTATGTATTGAAACGAAATGTTTTGCCAGGCTTGTGGCAGACACAGGCTGATCTCTGTGAGTTTGTGACCAGCCTGGGCTACATAGTGAGACCCTGTCTCCAATAAGAAGGGGAAAGAGGAGGAAGAGGAAGGAAAGGAGGAAGAACAATGAAATGTTTTCAAGCTGAGGCTATGACTCAGCAGTAGAGTGCATAGGGTGAGTGACACTCTGGGTTCAACCCTCAGTGTCACAGAAAAAAAGAAATATTTCTTGAAAACTGGTCTGTATATTACTTTCTTCATTTGTTTGTTTTAAAGGAATATTCCTTGAAACATGGTCTTTTTTTTTTAACACATGTTCCCTGAAACATGTGCTATTTTTAAAATAAGTATTTCTTGAAACCTGGTCTAGCTTTTGTTTTTATTTGTGTATTAATTTTCTAAAAGGAATGTTTCTTGAAACTTGCTATCTTTTTTTGCCTTTTTGAGACATACGTGTGATTGGTCTTGATTGGTCTTGAGCTCCCTTATGGATACCTGTCCTTCCTCTAACTCACATTGGTCCTCATGTCTCAGCTTCTCAAGTACTGGGATTACAGGTGTGAATCCCATTAACCATAGTCTGCTTTTTGCTATCATTTTAGCTTTTATTATCCCATAATTTAAAGATACAAAGAAAAGCGTTCAGCACCTGCCTCTGCTCTTAGCTACCCTGGTGGCTGAAGTAGTATCCATGAAGCCCAAGAATTTGAAACACAGTCTGGCATCATATCAACACCTCATTTCAAAAATATGTCAGGAAATAAAACCATGAAGGGATTTTAATTTTGTCTTTTTTCTATGATTATTTAAATAATGGTTATAATATGTCTAACTCTGGCTTCCATCATAGTTATAAAGAGTAACCAGAAATGCCACAGTTATCAAAGTGTGAGGTTGGAATGTACCTCATTGACAGCATACTTGGCTAGCATTTGTAAGGCCATGAATTCCGTCCCCAGTATCACAAAAACAGGAGAATTTTAACTGTGAAAAATATCAAGAATATTAGAAATATCACATTTCAAAGATACAGTTTATATTGTGCTCGCCTAGCATACATGAAGCCATGGGTTGTATCCAGAAGATCACCTAAGCCAGGCATGGTGGTATAGGCAGTATGCTCAGAGACAGGAAGGTCAGAAGTTCAAGCTCATCTTTGGGTAGATGGTGAATTGAAGGCCAGCGTGAGCTACATAAGACCCATCCCAAAGACGAAAAAAAAAGAAAAAGATACTGTCACTGGTTCCTGCTATTAATGATGGACTAGCCCTTCCATGTCTTGTATAATAGAGGTGGGGAAGGGGGTGGACATAATTGGCCCAGAAGAAATGTTGCTTGTTTTTTCTTGTTGTTATTACTAATTTGATGAGTAGGAGGATACAGTAGATCATTCCTTGTAAATTGAGTGATTCCTTATCTGCTGTTCTTGTAGTTGTCTCTGCCAAATGAATTTATGCTGTGATGCTTAGGAAGCTCCTGTGAAGACTTGTGAAGTTGAACTGGGCAGCACTCCTGCTGTGTACCCTCTATAGCTCTCAGTGTCTCCCATGGTCAGTGTTTTGTCTGTTTCCTCTGTTAAGAGCAACATTCTTCAGTATAGAGAAAGGCATGTTGTCGCTAAAATCTGTGGAAAGCAGATTTTCTCCCCTTAACATAGTGTTACTTTTGTAGAAATTTTAAATTTAGCTTTTATCTGAAGTGCCTTAAATAGATTCTTAATTTACATTTCTAGTACTGGTTTAAATATAATTCATTATGTATTTTTAATATACTGTTCAAAAAGGATACATTATTGTAGCAAAGATAACCAAATGTCTGGCTTACTGCTTCCTGACAATAAACTTTTACAATCTAAATTACAGGCTTTTGATTCTTTATTGTCATTTCCTTTCTGTTACCATTATAATAATCTTGTTAGAGCCACTTAAGGGAGAAGGGGTCCATTTTGGCTTATAGTTCCAAAGGAATATATTCTAGAGAACACATGGCAGCTGGAGCATGAAGCCCCAGGCAGTCAGGAGCAGGAGATAATATGTAGGGCCAGTGAAGTACTCTAGCAAGAATATCTCCTAAAGGTTTCACAACTTCCCAAACACTACCAGTAGCTAGCAGATGAACCTATGAAAGTATTTCACCTTAGATCAATTTGGAATTTCAAAGAGGGATCCTTAAATTATAATATTCTTGGAAGGAGAAGAGGTCCTCCCCTATCAGTGGACTTGGAAAGGGGCAGGGAGGAGAAGAGGGAGGGAGGGGTGGGATTGGGAGGCAATGAGGGAGCAGGATACAGCTGGGATCCAGAGTTAATAAACTGTAACTAATATAAAAAAATAAAAGTTTAATTAAAGAATATTCCCATCTTTCTTAAAAAATTGCTTATTATGTATATGATTGCTCTGTTTTCATGCACACCAGAAGAAGGCACCAGATCTCATTATAGATGGTTGTGACCCACCATGTGGTTGCTGGGAATTAAACTCAGGACCTTTGGAAGAGCAGACAGTGGTCTTAACCTCTGAGCCATCTCTCCAGCCCCAGAATATTTCATCTTAAGTGTATACTTACATTGCCTAAATTTTGCACTGTCCTGCAACAGTGCATTTCATAGAGCAATTTCCTTCATCACCTCTAGATTAAAATGTGTGGTGGCACATACCTTTATTCCCAGCACTGGGAAATGAAGGCAGACAGATCTCTGTAAGTTGGAGGCCACCCTGCTCTACATAGCGTTTCCAGGCCAACCAAGGCTATCTAGTGAAGCCACAGCTGAAAAACAAAAGTTCTCAACCTATGGGTCCAGACCCCTTTGGGGGTTTAATAACCTTGTCCCAGGGGTCATTTAAGACGTTGTAAATCACAGATATTTACATTACGATTCATTACAGTAGCAAATTAAAATTTAAAAAGTAGCAATAAAAAGAATTATATCATTGGGTCACCACTACATGAGGCATGTATTAAAGAGTCTTAGCATTAGGAAGATTGAAAACCAAAAGACTAGTGTTGGTTCTCTTGGTTGTCATCTCTAAATTTGGTGCTGAGTTAAATCAGTTGAAATACAGGGATGCCGTGGGTGGTGGCACACGCCTGTAATTCCAGCACTCAGGAAGGCAGAGACAGGTTGATCTCTGTGAGTTTGAGGCCAACCTGGTCTACAAAGTGAGTTCCAGGACAGCCGGGTTGTTACAGAGAGAAGCCCTGTCTGAAAAAAAATCCTGAACTATATTTTAAATATAAACATGTGTATCTTTAATACTAGAACAGAGCAGGAAAGATTTTTTTTTATTTGTACATCATGAATTTTTTTTATTTTTTTTTAATATTAGTTACAGTTTATTAACTCTGGATCCCAGCTGTATCCTGCTCCCTCAATCCCTCCCAAACCCTCCCTCCCTCCCTCATCTCCTCCCTGCCCCTTTCCAAGTCCACTGATAGGGAAGGACCTCCTCCCCTTTCATCTAACCGTGGTTTATTAGCTATCTTCAGGACTGGCTGCAAAGGCCTCCTCTGTGGCCTAGCAGGGTTGCTCCTCCCTAGGGAGGAGGGGGATCAAAGAGCCAGCCATTGCGTTCATTACAGAAATAGTCCCTGTTTCCCTTACTAGGATACCCACTTGGATACTGAGCTACCATGGGCTACATCCAAGCAGGGGTTCTAGGTTATAACCATAAATGGTCCTTACTGAAATCTATACACCTAAAGAAGATAAACAAGAAAGAGGACCTGGGGTCAGAAGATCAATCCTTACTTAGAAAGACAAATGGGATGGTCATTGGACGTAGGAGAAAACAAGAAACAGGCCTACCACAGAGGGCTTCTGAAAGACTCTATCTAGCAGTGTATCAAAGCAAATACTGAGACTTATAACCAAACCTTCAGCAGAATGCAAGGAATCATATGAAAGAAGGGGGGGGGGGGTTAGTAAGACCTGGAGAGGACAGGAGCTCCAAATATATCTGGGCACAGGGGTCTTTTATGAGGAAAAAAACTCTTAATGGAGTGGAAGTCATTTTCAGCTACATAGTGAGTTTGAAGCCACTCATACCTTGACTACAGAAGACCTTGACTCAAAAAAAAAACAAAAACAAAAACAAAAACGTTGAAATACTTTTTAGAAAGGCTGTGCTTAAGGTGGGCAGAGTGGTGTAACCCTGTGATCCCAGCATTCGGGGAGGCAGAGGCAGGTGGATCTCTGTGAATTCGAGACCAGCCTGTTCTACAACACAAGTCCAGGACAGCAAAGACTACACAAAGAAACCCTGTCTTGAGAAGATAAACAAGAAAGAGGACCCGGAGTAAGATGATCAATCCTCACTTAGAAAGACAAATGGGATGGACAGGGGAAGTAGGAGAAAACAAGTAACAGGACAGGAGCCTACCACAATGGGCTTCTGAAAGACTCTACCTAGCAGTATATCAAAGCAGATGCTGAGACTCATAACCAAACCTTCAGCAGAGTGCAAGGAATCATATGAAAGAAAGGGGAGTTAGTATGACCTAGAGAGGACAGGAGCTCCAAAAGGACAAAATATATCAGGGCATGGGGGCCCTCTATGAGACTATTTCTCCAACCAAGGACCATGTAAGGATATAACCTACAACCCCTGCTCTGATGCAGCCCATGATAGCTCAGTAACCAAGTGGGTTTCCCTAGTAAGGGGAACGGGACTATTTCTGACATGAACTCAACGACTGGCTCTTTTACCTCCCCCCGCCCCCCGAGGGAGGGACAGCCTTGCTAGGCCACAGAGGAGGATATGGCAGCCAGTCTTGAAGATAAGTTAGGGTCAGACGGAAGGGGAGGAGGACCTCCCCTAGCAGTGGACTTGGAAAGGGGCAGGGAGGAGATGAGGGAGGGAAGGTTGGGTGGGGAGGGAATGAGGAAGGGGGCTACGGCTGGGATACCAAGTAAATAACCTGTGATTAATATAATAAAAATCAAAAAGGCTGTGCTTGGAACTGATATATCTATTAGATCTAATGACATGGCCCTGCCCATTCTAAACAAGGGTGAGATGAACATTGATACAGTAGCCTGATAATTTTGAAAGCCAAAGCCAAAAAGACATGAGATATCCTTAAATTAGTACATTCACTTGCAGTGCTGAAGAAAACCTGCCCTAGAAAAATGAAGCAATTTAACTGAAGGTTATTCCAAGGAAATGCTTACAGGTTTCTCATTTTGCTGAAAATACCCTGTGGATTATATTTCACTTGCAGATGCAAATTGCTCTCTGGAGGCCATAGTCCACCTTGATTGCTTCCTGACATCCAGATTCTCTATGAAATGAAAAAGGCATTTCCCTGGAGAGCCTGAAACATACAGGTGCCCTAAGGAGTGAATTTTGATTGACACTTTTTAGTTGAAAGGAGAATGTAGGTGAAGAGATAGACTGCCTTTTGCCAGGAAGGGAAGCCAGAGCAATAATAACCTGGAGCTACTTCTGAACTTTGTGCAGAAGTGCCATAAACCTTGCATTCTCTTTTTCCTTCATGAAATTAAAGAGTTAAAATGCCGGTGTAAACTGGCATGTGTAATCCCAGCATTTAGGAGGCAGAAAGAAGCTGGAGGATCAATAATTCAAGGTTAGACTCTGCTGCACTGTTGGAGGCTAGCTTAGGCTATATGAATCTGTCTCAAAAACAAAACAAAACAAAACCTACCAAGGCTTATCACACCACCTGAAGTGGAATACTGTTGGAGGTTGGTCTGATGCCTGCTACTGGCCCTTAAGATCTGGTTACGCCTATCTTTGTTTTTAACCTGCCTAAGACATATCTGATTGGTTGATTAAACAGCCTATATCTGAGCAGGGCAGAATGGGGTAGCTGTGGCTGGTTCCCGGGCTTTGGAAGACAGGATAATAGGAAAGGACAAGGACAGGGCAGAAAAGAGGAGGAAGGAGGAAGCCATGATGGGTTAGCGGGAGAAGAAACTACATAGGGCCAGGAGGAAGGACTCCAATAATACCGTGAAAAGGCCTAGATGAAGAGTACAAGCAAGTACCATGGGCTTATGGATGGAAGGTAGTCCAGATGAGGAGGATTAAGGTGGATGTTTCTGGATGGGGGCTGGGAGATGGATGGTGAGGTGATTCAGGTGGTGTAGGTAGGAATATCTGCCCAGCCCAAAGTATATAAGGCAATGGTAAAATTTAACAGGTGTCAGTCTCTTATTATTTGTGATAACAGGTTAGGTATGTCTGTGATTATCATAGGGCTAATAATAACATATAGCCCAACACTCAAGTGTTTTATTTACTACAACAAAATACACTTAACAACAATAAAACCAAGCATAGTGAAAACGTGCCTTTAACCCCAGTGCTCAGGAGCCCAAGACAGGTGGATCTTGTGAGGATGTAAACCTGGTTTCCATAGTTTCAGGCCAGCAGGTGCTACGTCGTGAGACCTTGTCTCAAAAAGCAAAAAAGAAAATACCCAGGAATTGTATACATGCTTGTAATCCCAGCATGTGGGACCTTCTTCAGGCTGGAGAATCGCAAGTGCAAGGACAGCCTGAACTACACAGCACATCCTAAACTGATCTGGCTGCATATGAGGACCCCTATCTCAACAAACAAAAACAAGCCCACAATGAGACACTGCCTCATACCAACTATCGTAGCTACCATCAGAGAAACAGTGAATGAGGATCCATATGAAGAAACTGAACCTTTACAATTTGATGGGAATATAAAACAGCACATCAACTGTGGAAAACCCTGTCAAGGCTCATCTAAAAATTAGTACTTTTTTGAGGGCTGGAGCGATGGCTCAGTGGTTAAGAGCAGGTGTTCTTGCTTTTAACCCGAGCACCCAATTTCAGTTCCCAGCACTCAGCAACCTACTTCCA